TGTCCTGATTTGGTAGTGACAAGCCTGATTAATACTCTACCATCCCTGTTTTTCAGCTGCTTTTAAAATGTCTGAATTTCTTTCTCCTCCTCCCAGCTTCCCCTTTTGTCCTCAGCTTACTTCAGTTGCTGCAATCTGATTTGTGTGTTCTTCTTCATTAATAATTCTTCCCATCTTGACCTCACTCTGAAGTTGTATGGTTGCATGAGTCCTTGTTTTCAGTGGTGAAATGTTGGACGGCATGTGATGATGATGATGATGATGATGATAATAATAATAATAATAATAATAATAATAATAATAATAATAGTAATTTCTATCCTGCCCCTCTGCCGAAGCAATCGGGACAGCTTACAAAATTAAAATGTCACAATATACAATCCCAAAGAACCTCCTACCACCCCTTAAAATAGCATTAAACATCAAGCATATAAAACAATAAAACAATACAACAATCAGCTATAACATCTAAAAAAAAATCATAATAGCAGGCAGGCAACAGATTATGAATATGACAGAGGGTAGAGCTAGGGTGAGCTCACGCCTTAGGCTGGGAAAAACTAGTCTGGAAAGGCCTGTCAGAAGAGATCCATCTTTACACCCTTTTTGAAGCTGTTTAAGCTAGTAATCTGACAGATCTCATCTGGCAGGCCATTCCACAATCTGGGAGCAGTTGCTGAGAAGGCCCTCTGGGAGGTTGCAAACAACCTAGTTTTAACAGGATGAAGCAAATTCCCCCCAGAGGACTGAAGTGTGCGGGGTGGATCATATGGAAGGAGGTGGTCCTGGAGATAGGTTGGACCCAAGCCATGTAGGGCTTTAAAGGTCATAACCAACACCTTGTACTGAGCCCGGAAACTGATTGGCAGCCAATGAAGTCTGTTCAAGACAGGTGATATATGGTCTCACCTGGATGCGCTGGAGACCAGTCTGGCTGCCATATTCTGTACTACTTGAAGTTTCTGGACTAAGCATGAGGGTAGCCCCATGTAGAGTGCATTAAGGATATCAAGACAAGAGGTAACCAGTGCATGTACTACAGTTTCGAGATCCCTTACTTCCAGGAAAGGACGCAGCTGGCAGATCAGCTGAAGCTGATAACAGTCACTCCTGACCATTGCATTTACCTGATTTGACATCTGGAGTGATGGATTCAGGAGTACCCCCAGACTGCAAACACAGTCCTTTGCGGAGAGTATGAACCTGTCCAGGACTGGAGGTTGTATCCCAATACCTAGCTTTGGGGCTGCTACTGTTAGTACCTCTGTTTTTTCTGGATTCAGTCTCAATCTGTTTTTCCTCATCCAGCCCATTACCGTTCTAAGACAGTCATTGAGAGGAGAGATGCCATCAGAAGCCATGGCTGATGACCGAGGCATGGAAAAATATATCTGGGTGTCATCAGCATACTAATAACACCCAGCCCCATGCCTCTGGATGATCTCTCCCAGAGACTTCATCTATATATTGAACAACATCGGGGACAGGATGGTGCCTTGCGGGATGCCACAATTAAGCTCCTTTTTTGTGGAGCAACTGTCCCTGAGCCACACTCTCTTGAATCTGCCCGAGAGGAAGGAACAGAACCACTGCAATGCAGTGCCTCCAATTCCTAACCCCTTCAGGCGATCCAAGAGGATGTTGTGATCTATTGTATCAAAAGCCGCTGAGAGGTCTAAGAGCACCAACAGGGTCACAATACCCCTGATGATGCTCAAACAAAGGTCATTAGCCAAAGCCACCATGGCAATCTCAACTCTAAATCCTGTCCTAAAGCCAGTTTGAAATGAGTCTAGATAATCGGTTTCCTCCAAGACAGCTTGAAGTTGAAGAGTGACTGCTCTCTTGATCACTTTGCTTAGAAATGGTAATAAAGAGACTGGCCTGTAGTTATTCATATCCAGGGGGTCCATGGAAGGCTTTTTCAGAAGTGGCTTAACAGCCGCTTCCTTCAAGCAAAATGGAATATAACCTTCCCTGAGGTATGCATTGACGGTATCCGTAAGGAAAAGTCTCAATGCATCCCCCCTCCCCCGGATGGCCAGCCAAGACGGGCAAGGATTGAGAGGGCAAATTGTCTTCCTCACAATTCCAAGGAGCTTGTCCATGTCATCAGTACTTACAGATTGAAATTGATCCAGTATAATTTCACTAATGGAGTTGCTGGTGACCTCTTCAATTGACTCTGTCACAACACTGGCATCCAAGTCGGCTCTTATCTGTAACAACTCTTCACTCTGTTGCCACCATACCTTCCCTTCCCCCTCACAACCTTAATCCCTGCTCCCAGATCATTCCTGGCTACTATACAAGATGGAGATGACAAGAAGTCCAGATTAATATTTAACCCTATGTTCTCATGGCCATTCCACAATAAAGGGTCTCACTGGCCAACCCAGTAGAGGGAGTACTATTTACTGTTAAGGGCAGGAGGATGGGGAGGGGCTGAGAATCTCTATCCAGTCTTAATTATCCACCTGGCCCTTGGCATCACTGCTGCGGTTGCTATTAATGGTGGAAGGACTGGATGGACCAGATGGAAACTCCACGTCAGAGAAGGTGGTGGTACTTGGGCGGGCTCCTGAGCCTCCACCCAACCGCTCCGTGGCCTCATCGCTGCTGCTGCCACTGCGCTGCTGAAGGGGATGTTCCTTTTATACTCCTCCCTGCCTTTTTGCAGCCTCGCCATTGCTGCTGCCACCACCGCACCACTGGGGGTGGTGGTACTTGAGTGGGCTCCAATGTACAAGACGGTTGGGACTGAATCTCGACATTTTCACTGCTTCAGTGCTTTAATCCAAGTGTTGGAGATGGGCCTTGGGTTGGATCGCTCTATTTATTCTCTTATTTCCACTTACTAATTTCTAGAACCAAGCAGCTGTCTGTTAAATGAAGTGTTTTTTTAAATTAAATAGGGTTAGTTGTCAGCCCTAAAAACATTTGCCCTATTTGAAACAGCACAAAAGTATTCTGTTCCCAAAACATTGCCTCTGTATTGGTGGGTAACATAGGCCATTAATGGATCCTGCACATGTACATACATGCACACACACATATACACAAGAACAGTGCTGTTGCTTTTTCCAGTCCCCTGAAATCTTCCAAGGCTCACAGTTAGTTATTATGAAATTTTTTCACCTTCATTTTTTCATCTTTTCTTCTTATCTGACAAACATCACATCAAGATCCTAAATCCCAAGGGTTTTTTTTAGGAGCAGCGTAGTGGTGGTATGTTCTCCTGGATAATTCTGACAATAAATCATTTAGAAATTTCCCTCAGGTGCATATATTTGAAAGTCATTCACAAATCAGTCTAGCTAAGATAGGGGTATAGGAAGACCAGACTCTCCTGAATGTTAAGCAATAGAAGTTGATAATTAAGCACTTAGAATGCCAAGTACTCTGTGACGAGGATGGCTTTTCTATTGATTCTACAAATTGTTGTGTGGGCTTTTCAAGTGTTCCAAAAAGCCTTTGAGTATTTCATTCATATACTTGAAACACCTTATGAATTGCTCAGCTCCTGCCTCCTCCTTCTCCTTGCTATTATCCAGCCCCACATACCTTACTTTGGGTAGAGGAGAAAGGGAGTAGGAGTGGAGTAATGGCAAAGGTGGCTTCTATGTCAGTTGGGCTGTGAATCCATTCCTGGTTTTTGTCCCATCTTTAAAGGAGCTAGCAGAGCCAGTATGGTGTAGTGGTTTGAGTCCTGGACTGATAGGCCCCTAGAAGACAGCTGTTTCAATCTCCATTCAGCCATGGGAAGCTGCTAGGTGACCTGAGGCAAGTCACACTCTCTCAGCTTCAGAGGAAGACAATGGCAACTAATTCTGCCAAGAAAGCCCCATGATAGGTTCACCTTAGGGTTACGTCAAGTTAGAAATTATTTGAAGGCACACAACATGGCATGTTAAAGAAGCTATTAAAAGTGCTGAAGTTTGTTCCCAGAATAGTTCATCATGATGGGTGGCTCCTTAAAAGTTTATATACCACCCCACTGGTGTGGAAGCTACCAGCCATGAAATGAATGGTGGACACTTCCATAAATTTGTGGATTGCCACCTGTGAATGAGACCTGACTACAACTCTCTTAGGGTAGCTGGAGCAGATACTGTGAACATCATTTGCTACCAATGAAGGTCAAGACACATAAACCCCAAAACCCAGCAAGTTGTTCTGGTAAATTGGGAAGGAAATCCCACAAGCACCTACACCCGTCTCTATAATAAAAACAGAAGAGGAACAAATGAAATATCTTACAATTGGCACTTTCTCATGACACCCAGAATAGGCTACCTGAGGTAGTGGCCAAATTCAGCCTAATGTTAGGATTGGCCCTGAAAGAAAGCATGAATGAGACTAGGGATCTCAAGGAGAGAATTCTTACCATCTCAAACATAGCCCTAGCCTTTGGTGTGTGGGTTTTTTGGGGGTGGGTGGCCATTCATGTGGTACAAGCATACTTCAACTAGCAAATCCTCTGACATAGAAGCTCTTTTTTAAATTTTTTTTTCTTGCATACCCAACCCCTCATTTTTCTCTGTCTAGCTGGAGTTTTTTTTTTTTTAAATTAAACTTTCTAGCAATGTTGGCACTGAGAAGATGGTGGATAACTGCAAAATCACAGACTGTTGGTGCTGGGTTGCATCAACATTTTTTGATTGTTGTTGTGTGCCTTCAAGTCATTTCTGATTTATGGTGATCCTATCACTGGGTTTTCTTGGCAAGATTTGTTCAGGCGGGTTGCCATTCCCTTCTGAGGCTGAGAGAGTGTGATTTGCCCAAGGTTACCTGGTGGGTTTCTGTGGCTTCATGGGGAATTGAATCCTGATCTCCCAGATGACTAGTCCAACACTCAAACTGCTACACCACATTGGTGTCCCAAACACAACAAACCTGTTACAGGATTTTCTTAGCAAGATTTGTTCAGAGGGGGTTGCCATTGACATCCACTGAGGCTGAGAGAGTGTGATTTGCCTAAAGTCATCCAGTAGCTTTCTTGCCCAAGCAGGGAATCGAACTCTGGTCTCATGAGCCATAGCCCAACATTCAAGCCACTACACCACACTGGTTCCCATTGGCTATATAGCAAAGTGCATACAGTAACATCCAAAATCCACAAAATAGTGACACAGTGGGCCCTCAGTATCCACACAGATAACAAAATTCACAGATGCTCAAGTCCCATTGTTCTCAAAGGTGGCATGGCCACATGGTCTCACCACCATTGGGGGCAATGGGACTTCACCACATACATCCCTCCCTCCCTCCCTGCTTTCATCCATGGCAGCGGCAGCCACCGCCACTGCCACTGCTTCTTCCTCCTCTTCTGCTTCCTCCTGTCTCCCCTGGCTATTCCTTCCTCCCCAGTGGCTCCTCCTCCCCCTCCTCTGCCATGTCCCCTGTGGACTTGCCGTCCATGGATGTTTAAATCCGCAGATGACAAGCTTGTTGATATGGATGGCCTACTGTATTCAGCTATTGGTGTTAGGGCTGCATCTGCACTGTAGAAATAATCCAGTTTGGTACCATTTTAACTGCCAGGGCTGAATGCTTTGGGATCCTGGGATTTGTAAGTTGGTGAGATATTTAGCTAAAGAGCTCTGGTGCCACAATAAACTACAATTCCCAGGATTTCCTTAGCACTGAGCCAGGGCAGTTAAAGTGGTCACAGACTGGATTATTTCTGGAGGATGTTTTGGACCTCTGGCTTCAGCTGTGGTCCTGCTCCTTGAAAGTCCTGTCTCTGGCACCCAGTGACACCCGGTGTGGAAATGCCACTGAGTTTGGGCACTCGGTCTCTAAAGTTCGCCATCACTGATCTAGGTACTCCAGCACACCTCTATGGTCAACTTTAACCAAAAGTCACACTGAAGGACCTAGAGATTCCTAGAGAGAACACTCCACTAGGCATTTGTAGCTCCCCCAGAACAATTCTGTGATCAATGTCTGGCAGATGTTGACTACAGAGTTGCACTGGAGGACCTAGAGATTCCTAGAGAGGTGTTCTCTCAGATACAAACATAGTGTTTTTGTTATTTGTGATTTTTCCACATTCACAGAGGTCCTGTGTCCCTAACTCTAGCGAATGTGGAGGGATGAGTGTATATACTAATTACTATAACTCTTTCGGGGAATTATAATAATAGTTGTAATTGATTACTTTTAAATTCTGATTCCCACTATACCAGTATATATAATATTGAATTGTCAAGTCATAACTTCTTCAATCATCAGAGAAGCACTCAGTGACTACTTAACAGATTGATATTTGGGTTGCCCTCTCATGTATTAGTGTCATAGCTTTATATGAAGACTGAAAGTTTAAAAGTTTCCTACTCCTTATTTTCATCATTCTCAATTGATCTTTGTCCTAAGATGTATAAACAAAACATTCAAGAGCCAAAGTCAAGCCACATAACATAAATATGAACGGAGATTTTCAGATGTGAATGAGAAGCAGCTGGAAAACTCCTCTTCATTCATGGGATAATGACTGGATTATTGTGACATCACGTGACATCATGTGATAATCTTTGCCAAATTGTGCCACACTAGCAGGAGCATCCCACTATACTCCTGTCCCTTTTGGCTATCTGAAAATCTCCACAGAGAGACTTCCAAGTCACCCTATCCTCAACTGCCTTGGTCAGATCCTGTAGACACATGGCTGTGGCTTCTCTGATTGAGTCTATCCATCTGGAATGTGACTTTCCTCATTTGCTACTTCTTTCCACCTTACCAAGCATTATAGTCTTTTCTAGTAAATCCTTTGTTCTCATGATTTCCCCAAAATAAGACCACCTCAGTTTAGTCATCTTTGCTTCCAGTGAGAGTTTGGGCCATATCTGCTCTAGGATCCAGACATTGGTTTCTTAGTGGTCCGTGGTATTCTCAGAACTCTTCTCCAGTACCACATCTCAAATGAGTTGATTTTCCCCCTATCAGCTTTCTCCACGGTCCAGCTTTCACAACCTGGCAATCAGGTTTCAATTCCCTGCTCCAACATAAAAACCCACTGGGTGACTTTGGGCAAGTTTCTCTCTCAGCCTCAGAGGATGGCAATGGCAACCCCCCTCTGAAGAAAAATGTCAAGAAAACCCCATGATAGGGTTGCCTTAGTGTCACCATAAGTCAAAAATGACTTAGAGGCACACAAACGCAACCACAACAAGGGGAAGATGGCACAGAGACAGGGAAAACCTGTAATAGGAATAGGACAGTCAACGGGGGGAAGACCTGAATAGGGTTTTGGGGAACTATGAATGATTAAATAGTTCAGAGGTTAATGCTTACTCAAACATTAAGTGTATATTAATAAACTTCTATTTTGTTTATTCTTTTTTACATTTGTATCTGGCTGTTCCTGTTTTGATGGAGAGTCTGGGCATGCTAGCCACAGTGAACCCACTTAGCAACAGAACCACTGGTCCACATAGAGATCATCTTGAAGCCCAAGTACCTGATCCAGAGAGGGATCTTGAAGAGCAAAGGGACAAAGTGAGTGACAGGAGCCCAAGGGTTTGGAACTGCTGGGCCAGCCTTGAGAGGGTATCCGTTACAGAAGGGCAATGCCATCATTTTGCTCCCAAGCAGCTACAGCTCTGACCACACTCCTTAGATAAATGTAGCCTTTTCTATGGGTTCCACTCTTGAATGGAAGACTTCCAACCCTTGACCTCATTAAGTTCATGGCCCTATGAAATTCCAGATCTCATCTCTGCCTTGAACATCACACAGTTCCACCAATGCATCAAATTTTGTCTGCCAGCTTTTGGTAACTTTGAATTGAGAGATCATAATAACTGATGGATGTTACAAGCATTTTTCACTTGACATTAAGAGAACATTTTCTGTATAGCTGTTGCCAGAGTTGAGAGAGGTTGTTGTTTTGGACCACAAATCCCAGAATCCCTCAGGCACCATGGCCAGTGAACATGTAGGCTGGTGAATCATAGAACTGTAGTGCAAAAAGACAGCTTTCCCAAATTCTGGCTGTTCCTAGGGCTGATGAATTATGGGATTTGTAGTGCAAAAAAGATAACTTGCCTAAATTTGGTTATTTCTGGGGATGTGGCATTTGAAAAGAAGGTCTTTTCCAATATATATTTAAAACAACCTGTTATCATTCCTTTTTTCTCAGCCTTCTAATGCTGCCTCTTGCTTCCTCCAGGGAAATGATGCAGGATGAGAAGGTGGACAGAGGTGCTTACATGCCTTACAGGCACCTGGAACATTTTTTATACAAGGTTATAGAGAAAACTTGCAAATACGAAATCACCTTCCTGCCAGTCAGTGTCACCCATGTATTCCAAAGCAGGGAGTCAGAGTGGAGAAGGGCAGAATCAGTGCCTGCGTTCTAAAGGCTGTGGTTTCAATGCTCCCCTTCCTCATAAACAATGTCAAAGGGAATCAGACTCGCCTTGTCTGTAAACCAGCAAATTGTGTGTAGTAGACAGGCACCTGCTTGTTTGCTCAAAATATTAAGCTGTCAAATGACACGGATGTTTGTGCTCACAGCCTTTCTTCGGATGATTGATGTAGGTCATGCCTTTGTTTGAGAAAGACCTGGGCTAGTCAGCCACAGGAGAATGTGCTTTGGGTTTGTTCTTTGAAATAAGCATGTGAGGTCAGCAGGGAGTTGCTGGCTTAGCCTGCAATTATTGTTGCCTCTCTCCATTTTTTGAATGCCATCATTTAAAACGGGAATTGTGGAAGGTCCAGGGCAGTAACAGCTGGTAGCTTCAATTTCACTTGGGCAGCAAGTTAGTCCCAAACCTCACAGGAGCTGAATCTTATCCTCAAAATAGGCACAACACATTGGATAGCTACTTTAAAGTTCAGAACAGATTCACTGAGGCCGTTAGATGCATTTACTCACTGTCCATATTTTAAACATCTTAGACTTCCATGGGATGTACCCACTCTTTTTTCTCAATTCAGAAATAACTTGAAGATCATTTTTGATTTTTTTTAAAAGGAAAAAGCCTGCTTTGAGCCCCTCAAAGATCTCCCCCCCTCCATAGCGTTACAGTGGAAAATTATGCCCTTTAGAGGTTTCTGGAGTGTGACTGTCCTTTTTTTAGGACAAAGTACCCCCCCTCCCAGCAATGAGAACAGGTTCTGGGCACTCAAGGAAGGTCCTGAAGGCTGTAACTCGGGTTTGCTGAGGAGCATGACCTGCACAATTCTCACCCCACATCTCACACAACCCCCACTCTTATTTTAAAGGTA